TAAGATGTTTGAAACTCCGGACTGGAAGCAGCATCTCTGACATAGAACATTTTTCAGTAATGTGACAGTAGAGTAAATGCATAACTCTGACATCTGCCAGCACAGCCGTTTAATACTATTCTGAAATGTTTGACCCTGATTTCGACCCCGTTGGCTTTATATTTCCTGTCATTTTACCGAAATTATTCTGGCTTTCTGTTTTTGCCGCTTTTATCTCTTTTTCCCCCAGCCTCGGTCGACCCCGCCCTGCTTCAGTCCACACAAAGGCCGGACCCTCCCCGACTGGACACTATACGACCCCTGGAGGGACTCAGAATCACATGATGTTAAATCCTCTCAACAGATATTAATGTACGTCAGCACAGCTCATTCCTCAAAAAACCAATACATTATCTACGCCAAACACACGCCTCTGATTATGACACACTCCTTAATGTGCTCCAGACACACAACCGGGAGCCCAATATGAGTGTGTATGTGTCTGGGCGCACATGATTAATAAGCAGGACAAAATGGCCCACAAATGAGAAATGATCCCATTGTCTGTAGTCACCACTGAGCTGGACAGCAGGGTGGAGCTCGTGATATAGAAATGAAGAGAAAGCAGAATGGGAAAATCATGAAGTCAAGAAAAGAGGATCACGGAGCGGGCAGGTGTGAATAATGACGCTCAGCACTGCTAGACTCTCGGCTTTCGCTGGTTCTTTTGTTTTCGCTTATACGCCACCCGCAGTTTTGCTCTCTGTTCAGCAGGATCCCAAAGAGGTTTAGTTAGCTGCCATGTGAGGACAGTTCCCTCTCCATATCTGCTGTCAGTGGTGATATGACAGCACCAGCAGAGTGAGAATGTGTATCAGCAGCAGTCGTGTTGTAGAGAGACACTGTGTGCTGGATTTCAGCAGGGACAGAGAAGACGTGTCACACACCAGTCACATGCATAAATCAAGCCATTGTTCAATCACTGCAGCTTCACACACACACACACACACACACACACAAGAGAGAAAGAGAGAACGAGACGTATACACTTTACAGATATGCGTGAGAAGCTGAGATCAAATATAGTCAAGGTTAGAACGTCACTTCAAAGCCTCTTCGTCTTCAAAACCAACTCTTGAAATGAATTATTAATTATTTTTTACTCTGCAGTAAAAAGAGTTGGAAAAGGATCAGCGTTGATCGCTATCTAACAGTCCAAAGTCATGTAATGTAATGTAACACACACACACACACACACAACTAAACCTGTCCACAAGACATTCAGCTGTGCTCAGTGAACTGATGAAACCTCCATCTTTAAACCTAAATATGTGCTTCATGTGTCAATTATTATTTATATATTTCATAGAAGAATCATTTAAAATAATTTCATAATATATCTAATAATTAAATTGAAGGGAAAATCTAATTTAACAACACAGAATCAACCTAAAAACATTAAGTTACACAAATAAAACTAAGCAATATCAATAACTGCAGGAAACCAGTGTATAGTAACAGAGAATACTACGCTACAGAAAATACTATTTCAGTTTTTCTACTCTCCTAGGTTCACGAAACGGTCGTCCATAAAATGCATTGCTGTTCTGTTGTAAGTGATCTTAAAGATTCCTAAATGCATCTACTTTCGGAAGGCCAAATAAAGTGCTTTTGCTTTCGCCTAGAAACACACAGCGCCTCCCTGACATGCTGCTTCAACACTAACTGCGGTTACTGAAACCACGCCTTCTTTTTTTGCGTGAACATTTGGGCACCATTACGCAAATATTTCCACATAGTGAGGTAGATATGTGGGGGCGTGTTAGAACGAGGCGTTTTAGGGGGGCGTGGCAGAGTCTTAACTTTGATAAAGAATATCTCTTTGGTTTTGAGACTTTAGTCTTTGCAACTTCAGGGATCTTATCTATGCACAATCAGCTTGTAACACTCCAAAGAGAAAGAACAACTTGAAATCGCACAATATGACCCCTTTAAGAGTAGACAGACAAATCGCTGGAAACTTGTAATATTGAAGGAACAAAGGGTTTTATTTTCCTTCATGGCTTGTGAAATCCTAAATCTCTGTTTATCTGGCTGGACTGGTCCGGGTTATTTTCCTCTCGAGCGCACATCTTGCTGCTGATTCTGCTCCCACGTGCTGAATTGTGATCCAAGATGCCTCAGACATGTTCCTAAAATACCTGACCCAAACTACACCCCACGCATCCACCAGGAAACGTGTCGAAACCGTCCACCTCGCCCTGCGCATGACATAATCCCCATAAAGACTCACAGAAAACAGCTAATAAATCTGTTGATTAACAACTTATATTGGTTATCATTAGGAGCATGGACTATAAATTAATGAGATAGTTCAGATAGCCAGTCCATTATTTACAGTATTTTTTTTATATAATTAGTATATTATATTGAGTTGGCTACTTGGGTAACAGTAATTGTTAATAAAATAGACACTGACAATTTTGCTATTCAAAAAATGCGTGGTGTTTTTGATATATCACAACATACCCATTCATTCCTGTTAAAATCATCTATGCTCTGTGGTGTAAAAATAAGACCAGTGATGACAGATAAAGCATGGTCATAAGGTCATATTAAGGTGTATTATACATAGGTAATGTCTTATACTACACCCTTTTATCACTACAATTATAATATATTAGCATGTAACAGGCTACCTATATGTGGAATATAGTAGCTATATAGTAATATATGATCCGAACATGAGTTAATTGTGCTGTTTACTGTGGAATAGGCCTAACTGTAATTTGACTGTGGTTACAATTATTTTTGAAAAGATATAGGACTAATAACAACAATGCAGATTATATGGCATTAGAATGCAATGCTTGCTATAATGCATGATATGTGGGTGTTTTGTGTAAAGTGTTATCTTTGTGCCAATGAGGACTACACTCTAAAAAATGCTGGGTTAAATATAACCCAGCGCTGGGTTAAAAAGGGACAAACCCAGCTATTGGGTTGTTTTGACCCAGCGGTTGGGTTGTTTTGACCCAGCTACTGGGTTGGGTTGACCCAGCTATTGAGTTGTTTTGACCCAGCGGTTGGGTTGTTTTGACCCAGCTACTGGGTTGGGTTGACCCAGCTATTGAGTTGTTTTGACCCAGCGGTTGGGTTGTTTTGACCCAGCTACTGGGTTGGGTTGACCCAGCTATTGAGTTGTTTTGACCCAGCGGTTGGGTTGTTTTGACCCAGCTACTGGGTTGGGTTGACCCAGCTATTGAGTTGTTTTGACCCAGCGGTTGGGTTGTTTTGACCCAGCTACTGGGTTGGGTTGACCCAGCTATTGAGTTGTTTTGACCCAGCGGTTGGGTTGTTTTGACCCAGCTACTGGGTTGGGTTGACCCAGCTATTGAGTTGTTTTGACCCAGCGGTTGGGTTGTTTTGACCCAGCTACTGGGTTGGGTTGACCCAGCTATTGAGTTGTTTTGACCCAGCGGTTGGGTTGTTTTGACCCAGCTACTGGGTTGGGTTGACCCAGCTATTGAGTTGTTTTGACCCAGCGGTTGGGTTGTTTTGACCCAGCTACTGGGTTGGGTTGACCCAGCTATTGAGTTGTTTTGACCCAGCGGTTGGGTTGTTTTGACCCAGCTACTGGGTTGGGTTGACCCAGCTATTGAGTTGTTTTGACCCAGCGGTTGGGTTGTTTTGACCCAGCTACTGGGTTGGGTTGACCCAGCTATTGAGTTGTTTTGACCCAGCGGTTGGGTTGTTTTGACCCAGCTACTGGGTTGGGTTGACCCAGCTATTGAGTTGTTTTGACCCAGCGGTTGGGTTGTTTTGACCCAGCTACTGGGTTGGGTTGACCCAGCTATTGAGTTGTTTTGACCCAGCGGTTGGGTTGTTTTGACCCAGCTACTGGGTTGGGTTGACCCAGCTATTGAGTTGTTTTGACCCAGCGGTTGGGTTGTTTTGACCCAGCTACTGGGTTGGGTTGACCCAGCTATTGAGTTGTTTTGACCCAGCGGTTGGGTTGTTTTGACCCAGCTACTGGGTTGGGTTGACCCAGCTATTGAGTTGTTTTGACCCAGCGGTTGGGTTGTTTTGACCCAGCTACTGGGTTGGGTTGACCCAGCTATTGAGTTGTTTTGACCCAGCGGTTGGGTTGTTTTGACCCAGCTACTGGGTTGGGTTGACCCAGCTATTGAGTTGTTTTGACCCAGCGGTTGGGTTGTTTTGACCCAGCTACTGGGTTGGGTTGACCCAGCTATTGAGTTGTTTTGACCCAGCGGTTGGGTTGTTTTGACCCAGCTACTGGGTTGGGTTGACCCAGCTATTGAGTTGTTTTGACCCAGCGGTTGGGTTGTTTTGACCCAGCTATTGGGTTGTTTTGACCCAGCTACTGGGTTGTTTTGACCCAGCTATTGGGTTCAAAACAACCCAACCGCTGGGTCAAAAAAAAACCAATAGCTGGGTTTGTCGATTTTTAACCCAGCATTTTTTAGTGTGTAAAGTGAATAAAGCAGTTAACAGACATGACGTCATGCGAGCTCAGTTGATCTAAACGTGCCTTTTCTATAACAAATGCATTCATTCATGTCAAATGACAGCAATCATCATATGACAGCGCATGTGTGTAGATAAACACGCCTCATGCGTCTGTCAGGATCATGCAGGCTTCATGAGCATATTTCCGGTGCTGCACTTCTTACACTTACGCTTTACACTTCATTGGTGAATATTAAGATGTTCTGCTTATATGTTTTATAATAGGTTATTTCCAGCCCTAACTCACTATAATGCAATATAACACAAACTGATATAAAATGGCTAACATACTGCGAAGAAAATATTGCTCAGAATATTTCGTGAAAAATCAATAATAATCCCATTCACCTAAAATATGATTCCAAGATTAATAAAAAGCCCAGATAGACAGGTATCGAATCATTTAAGCTAGAGATCCCGCTTAATCGCAGTTTCTATAGCGTCTCTATTTGAGCTTTAGTAAAAAGCCCAGATCATAGACATTCACTTACCATAGGCTGGTTTTAAATTAGTCATCTCAGACATGTTGAAGTCCAATGGCTCGGCTGTGATCAGAAAACAAAAAATAAAAAGCCAAGGGAATGAATTTCTATTTTATTTCCATGAATTTCTTCAGGCCGATCCTCCAGCTGAAATGTGTGGCCGAGCTGTGGATGTTCTCTTCTGTGCCTGCGCGCTGCTGCTTAAGGATGCGCTCGCGCCTCCTCCTCCTCCTCCTCCTCCTCCTCCTCCACAGATGCGAGAGTGATGATGATGATGATAATGATGCTCAGGGCGGATGCAGCCTAAAATCCCATGCAAACCCTTCAGCTCCCCCTACAGTCCATAACGGAGGAGAAACAGAGCACACTCTGAACATGAGGTGTTGTACGACCTATTCTATTCTTACATTATAGCCCTTTTTTATTAACATTATTGAAGTAGATTTCATTTTAAATTATATAGGAATTCTATATTTTATTTGTATTTATTTATATTACTATTATAGCACATTTAAAAATAACATACTAATTATTTTATTGTATAAAACTAATTTGATATTATAATTCATTTGATATTTACATACAAATTAACTTTTCCACTAATTAATTCAATTTCCATGTCTTTTGCAGCTGGGATTACTGTTTGTGATTACTGTTATTTACAGTATAAGTGAATTATTATTATTATTATTATTAATTATACATTGAAAAATAAAATATAGTTTTATTTTTTTTATACATCAAATGTTATATATATTAATTTTATATATTTTTAAAATATATAACTTTTATATATAATTTATTCACTTTATTCCTCATTGGCACAAAGACAACACTTTACATGAAACACCCATATATCATGCATTCACAGACTTTTACATTAACTGTTCCCTCGTGGTGGAATGATCTGTCCAAATCAATCCGAGCAGCTGAGTCCTTAACCATCTTCAAGAAACGACTGAAAACACATCTGTTCCACCTTTATTTGACCTCTAACTCTAGCACTTTCTATTCTATTTTAATTCTACTTATCTATATTTATCTTTATTTAAAAAGAAACAACAAAAAACAAAAACTAGCTTTCTATTTTTTCTATTCTGTTGTTTTTCT